GCAAGACCAGGTTGTTGTTGTTTATTTTTTTAAGTAGTACTTTTCCTCAAAAGATTGAGAAAAAAGTTTTGATCTAACTTTTCATTTTGGGGGGTCATGGGGGACACAAAAAGGGGGCATTTCAGATAGAACACAACCAGGAATGTGACTTTGTGGGCCTAGATGAGAGGCAGTGAAGAGGAAAGAGGGTTAGTGATGAGGTTAAAATGATAGGCAGCTGCCCAGAATTTCTGGAGCAACAATTTTACAATTTTTAATTGATCTGTTTATATTAGGCCAAGTTTTTTTTTTTTAAATACCAGTTTCTGTTTTATATATAGATATTAAATGACACATTTTGCTAAATGATTTTTCCACAACAAGCGTCTACTAATGAAAACAGAAACGCTACATCTTAACTGCATTTGTCCATAAGTAAGAAATACTTCGGGCCTCCCGTGTGTATCAGCGGTTGAGCGCTGGGTTGCGAAGCTGCCCACAGCCTCTGAAGCACCAGTTCGATCCCCAGCTGCTCCCCGGCCACCAGAGGAGGGTCCCACATGGCGCGCAGACCTCTCCTGCCGCCCGCTGCTCCCCTCAGCAGTGTACTTCGGTCCTTCTGCCTGCTCTGCTCCCCGCTCTGGCTCTGGTGAATTCTCTCACCCTCCCGCGCTTCTGACTGTACCCAGTGCTTGTATAAATAAATAAAAAAAAAAAAAATCTTTAAAAAAAAAAAAAAAAGAAATACTTCAACAGTATCATTGTGATCATGATCCTATGAAAGAGAAACTCAGAGAAGGAAAACGGGGATGGTTCCCTTTTCTTAGAAAATCAAAGTGCTATCATATTTGTCTCATTTTATCTCCCTGCCGAGAGAAGGAAAAGATAAAGGATGATTGTTTTAAAGGCTAGGGAAAGTGAAAGAGAGGAAAAGTAGTGATTCCCTTCATTCTAAGATGCATGATTTTACACAACTTTTATTTAAAAAAATCAGGATGGATATCACATTGTTGATTTAATGTTATCTTTTTTGGGGGAGGGCCACATTAAGTGTATCTTATAATTATGGGCATACTTTGAGTTAAGGAATCATGGTATAAGATTTCAATCAGATTTATCAGCAAGAAAGTGGCAGAATTGGGCTAAAGAATTCTGTTGTCAAGTTATTAATGCATAATAAGACTATAGTGGCCTGTCTGGCTACTCTTTATTAATTAAATATACAGAATCTACCTTTTAGCAGTAGCTTCCTGAAATACAAAGTCATACTATGCCCTTTCTGACCTCAAGAAACCTGTAATTAAGTTTCGATGTCTACACATGTATCTATAAAACAGCCTGGGATTAGTAGCTGAAGAATGCTAAAAAGTGAGCTACATCAAGGTAAGGAGAGATAGTCACTTGCAGTCAGGATGCAAGGAAAATCCTGACACATCACAAGAACTTAATAGATATTGATTCTTAAAATATCTTGGAAGACCCAGCTTAGATTCCGAAGAACTGACAGAATACCCAGAGAAGGCACTCCAAGCAGAGAGGAGAGAGAGGAATCACAAAAACAACAAAACACAGAAATCAGTCACTGGGCCTAAGTGGCAGAAACAAGGGAGGGAAGTGAATCATGGGAAAAGATTAGAAAAGTAAACAGGGGCTAAATTATGGCATTCTTTAAAAATCAAACTAAAAATGTGAACAGAGCTATAGCCTCCTGATAGCCATGTCTCAAAGACATGTAATCTGACAGTAAAATATGCTGGCTGAGCTTAAGTGGAGAGACTGTACAGAATTCAGTGTCAAGCATACAGTGCCTGACCTAAGTGGTAACAATAGTAATGCCAAGGAGAGTCATCCCTTCTTCTGGGGATGAGGTAAATCGCAAGACAAAAGCCTACCAACTTGCTAGTATTTTGTAGATCTTCTACTCCCAGCACAACGCTTAAATGCACAGTAGATGCTCACTAAGTGAGCTGAAAGAAGACAACCTGCAAAAGTGGATCTGAATCTTCACTACTGCTAAGTAACCATAACCACTCTCTACTTTTCAAATTATAGTTAACATGAATTCTCCCTCCAATCTTGGTTTTACAGCCTAAATGTAAATTTTCCAGGTTTTAAAACTTCCCCCTTCCGTTTTCAAGATATGCAACCGCATTTTTTAAGTCTATAAATTTGCTACTACACGTACTCTGCGAAACACTGCCTATCCCGGGATTTAAGTAAGCAACCAACCAGTTTCCATACAGCACACATCAATACACCTTGCTTAAAAAACATTAATAGCAAAAAGTTCTCTTTTAGACATGTTTCTTGTGTTACTGAATCTGTTACATCACTAGTGCAACCACAAGTTGGTGCTTACATTTCTAAAGTTGTGCAAAGGGTTCAAAGTTGTGTAAGAGTCATCACTGAAATCAGACTCTGGTATATTAATAGTTGTAACACCTGAACAGTCTTGGTTTTATTATTAGATTCAAAGTAATGCCAAAATCACAAGTACTAAAAAATATTTCACAATGGGTTTGTTCATCTATGAAATAAACTCGGATGTTAATTTAGGTGCGAATAACTGGATTTCTTCCTGTTTCGAACATCAGCTCACCTTAAAACTAGCATCAGGGATCCTGATTTGATATACTTAAAATAAAAATCTGTGTTTCTCGCACTCTTCGCGCGCGCGCACGTACGTACACGTACACACACACACACACACACACGCACACACCCACAGCGCAACACTGAAAGGCCTTGCATTACTATCAGATATCCCCAGTTTACACGTGGCAAGAGTCGACCGAACTCTGTCATGCCTTATTGACCTCAAAAGTGACTCCCCAACCGTCAAGTAATGAAAAGTGACTTATTGACTAGGGAGTTGAGGGTGTTAAAATTTTTTTTTTAAAAGGTTTCCCTATCTCCTTTTCAGCTGGCTGTCCCCACAGCAGGGAGCGCTTTGACAAGGTCTTGGCAGATGCGTGCAGGTCGGAGGTGCCACTGATTAGGAAACTCAAGACCCTCTTGGCATCCCTTCTGCTCTCCTCTGCCTTTTCCTTCACCCGGGCGGCGAAGCGACCCAAGCTGAGGGGCCCTGGCGTGGGAGTGCGGTCGTGCGATCCGGCCCTGACGGCCCCCGGCCGGGCCGCCCCTCCAGTCCTGTAAGTCCCAGGTTGGGCGTCGCCAAAAGGCTGCGGCGGCCCCGGGCTGCAAGGCTGGCCTGGGCGGGGGCCGCGGCCCGGGCCTGGCCAGGCCGCGGCCGCTCGCAGTGCCCACGTCACCAGCTCCAGCACTGCGGAAATGGAGCGCGCGGCAGGGAGGAGGCGCCGGGCGGCGTCCGCGCCCGCGCCCCGCCAGGCGCCGTTTGCCCCTCAGCCCGGGCCGGGAGGTCGCCGACACCCGCCCGCCCGTGCCCCGGGCCCTCACCTGTGTCGCCGATGATGATGTACTTGAAGAGATAGGCGTACGCCATGGCCGCGGCCGCTCGGTGCCAGGGCTCACGGCTCCTCCTCCTGCTACTGCTCCTCCTCCGCGCCCCTCACCCCGGCACCGCTCGGCCTCGAAACGCCGGGCCCCGCCCGCAGTCGCTGTCGCCGCCGTCAGCCGCCCGGAATGAGGGGTCGAGAGGAAGCCGCGCAAACTGACACCGGTGGAGCCGAGGGAGACAGCGCCCGACCGAGCCCAGCCGAACAATAACAGCCGCCGCTGCGCCCCCGCCCCGCCTCCGCGCCGACCCGGAAGTGCTGCGGCCGCCGGCGCCGCCGGAGGAAAGGGGAGGAGCCGCGCACGCCGGCCGCGCCACGCCGGCCGGAGCCCCGCCCAGCCAGAGCCCCGCCCGCGCCCGCCGGGGCCACGCCCAGCGCCGCGCCTGCCGCGCCCCGGCCGCCCCGGCCGCCCCGTCCTCCCGGCGTCGGGCGAGCCCGGGCGCGGGTCGATCGGCAATTTTGAGCCGGCGACCCCGGCGGCAGGGAGGGGCTGGGGGAGGGGGAGGAAGGGTTCGGTTCCGTCGCTGCTGAGCGCGGGGCTGTCGCATTCTTCCGCCCGGCGGGGGCGGCGCGGGGCACGTGATGGGAAGGCGGAGGTCGCGTTCGATGCCAGGCCCCGCCCGGGGCTCGGGGAAGGTGTTGAAAAGCCCCCGCCTCCCGGGGGTGTGTAGCGGAGAGATGGGGTTTATGAGTTTGAGGCCGGTGGCTGACAGTGCAAATTGGAAGTATTTGTATACTGGAAATAGCTAAGTCAGGCACTATGAAGTATGTTAGGCCCTTACTGTGGAATACTATGCTGCTCTTAATTAAAAAGGAAAAAAAAAAGCCTGATATATGTTAAGTGGAAACAAGGCAATGGACTCTGTAAATATGTATTTGTACCCTGTATTATATATTAACATTATTATGTGTTGTATGTGTATTGTTTAGATATAAGATTTACTGAAGATATAATAAAGGATTTCATCTATCAATTATATTGTATATAAGACATTTTATTTTATTAATATAAATTATGCATTTTACCATCGTGCAGGAAATGACAGGAATACATTTAAATATCCATACATGCATAGTGAATCTGAAAGGAAACATCACCGGTACCAAAGGAGACCATGGGATTAAAGATCCACATTTCACTAAATTTTTCTGTGGAATTTAAAATTTTTTGCAGCATTCGTGAATTACCTATTGAAAAATGTTTTTAAAGGAAAGCAAAATAACTTTTTGTTCATTCAACTAACATTTGTTGAGTGTATACTGAGCTTTGTGAGGTGTTACGCTTTGCAATTAAAGGGGGACTCACTCCTGAAAGAACATGGTTTTGGAAGAGGAGATGAAGAATGAAGTTTATGTGTCAGGATAGGATACCTAGAGAAGTTAATGTCTGCACCAGGAGTATGAATGATTAATAAGAGTGTTAAAAGGCCAAAAGTTTAGGGAAGGGAAGTTGAAGTTTATGCACAAAGAATAGAATGCAAAGTTCGTGGACCTGTAACAATGTCATTTCCATAGAAAGGGGAGGTTCCAGGTTCCCAGCCCCACCCAAGTTGCTGAGCAGGGAAAACACTAAAACAAACAAACAAACAAACAAATAAAGGGCAACCTGGGAAGACATGGAGGAGGCACATGGAAGGACAGAGACTAGTGAATAAGAAGCTCCAATTGCTTCCCAGGCTTGGACTTGTACCAGGGACTTGAGGAACGTGGACGGCGACCCTTGAAAGAGACAGAGAAGTGGGTAAGAGACCCTTGAGGAGGGCAACGGCAGCCTTTATCTTGACTTGTATTTTTTTTTTTAATAGAGGCATGTTTTTATTTATTTATTTGTTTTTTGTTTTTTTTGTTTACACATGCACTGGGCACAGTCAGAAGCGCGGGAGGGTGAGAGAATTTACCAGAGCCAGAGCGGGGAGCAGAACAGGCAGAAGGACCAAGGTACACTGCTGAGGGGAGCAGCAGGCGGCAGGAGAGGTCTGCCCGCCATGTGGGACCCTCCTCCAGTGGCCAGGGAGCAGCCGGGGATCGAACCGGCGCCGCAGAGGCGGCGGACAGCTTCGCAACCCTGCGCTCAACCACTGCGCCACGGGGGAGGCCCTTGACTTGTATTTTATTACTGCTCTTTTCCTTCCAGACTTGTCTGGCCCCTTCTCCCCCTTTCCTGTGGGTCTCCACCACACGGTGCCTTTAGACTTGTGGCAAGCTTTCGGGCCTCATTTACCCACAGGTTTTGGGTAGCTTCAGGTGTTTAATTGGAAACTATTTTAACTATATTCTTTCTCTTCTCCATTACACACTAATTATACTAAAGTTGTTTTCTATTGAAGGTCTTACTACTAAGTATGTTTTGTCTTTATGCAGTGGATGGCAGTACCCATTTAGAGCAAGTAGATTGGGGGTCTCAGGGTGCCCCTCATTCTGCTCACGGAATTTAAAATTGTCTAAGGGGGGCCTCCCCGGTGACGCAGCGGTTGAGCGCTGGGTTGCGAAGCTACCCGCGGCCTCTGCGGCGCTGCGGCGCTGGTTCGATCCCCGGCTGCTCCCCGGCCACCGGAGGAGGGTCCCACATGGCGCGCAGACCTCTCCTGCCGCCCGCTGCTCCCCTCAGCAGTGTACCTTGGTCCTTCTGCCTGCTCTGCTCCTCGCTCTGGCTCTGGTGAATTCGCTCACCCTCCCGCGCTTCTGACTGTACCCAGTGCTTGTATAAATAAAATAAATAAATCTTTAAAAAAATTGTCTAAGGGACTCCGTTTATTAACCCATAGTCTATAATATTGGAAGGAGAATCACTGTGGGAGGAGAAGTGACTGGGATTTAGTTGCTGGGTTGTTCCTAGTGCCTAATATTCTCTCCCTTTCATTGTCTCTCTATTCTACTGACACCTTCATGCTAGGCTGGCTGTGGCTACTTGCTACATGGTTTGGATGGCCTTGCTATATCTGAAATCAAAGATTTAGGTTTTTTCTTACTTTAATAAAATATTTGGGGCCTTCCCTGGTGGCACCGGTGGTTGAGTGCTGCGCTGTGAAGCTGTCCGCAGCCTCTGTAGCGCTGGTTGGATCTCGGCCTGAAGGCGAGGGTCCCACATGGCGCGGCAGACCACGCCTGTCTCGCCCGCTGCTCCCCTCAGCAGTGTAGTCAGTCTGCCTGTTCTGTCCCCCTCTCTCTCTCTGGTGAATCCTCTCACCTTCCCGCGAATCTGGCCTGTACCCCGGATCTTGTATAAATAAATAAATCTTTTAAACAAATTTTTAAAAATTAAAAAAAATATTTGGAGGGCATTTTACTAAAAACTTTAGGGATATAGTACCAGAATTTGCCCTGAAAAGTTACCTGGAATTGTATAATCTGATCTACTTATCTTTAATTTGGGAAGTGGGGGAAGGAAGGTAGAATGCAGCTTGGAGTCCTAGGCCTCAGGTTCCAGAGGCCATTTTGTCTCTCCCATCTTTCACTCAGGTCTTTCTTGGTTGGCGGACATCTCGGACTGCCCGGTTCTGCCAAGAGAAACTCATTTCTATTACTCCAAGATGTATGGCCCTTTATCCATAGATTCAAGGATAACTCTATCAGCATGTTACTCAAAAGCGTAACATTCTTGCAGATCAGGAGCATTCCTTACTGTTAGAGGAAGTGAGTAGCTGGAAAAGTCAGGTGCCAGATCATGCAAGGTCTTGTAGCCATGTCAATATGCATATAAACTCTGTATATAAGGGAAATTGAAGAGAAAGATCTGAATTGGGTATTTAAAAAAAAATGAATATAGCGCTTTAGAGGCAATACAGTATAAAGAAACAGGAAACCTGGTTTCTGGTGTAGGCTTCACCACTAACTGGTTGGATGATTGTGACAAATCATTTGGCCTCTCAGAGATTCATTGCATTCATCTCTAAAGTGAAGGAATTAGGTGTCATTTAAAAGGGCTATTCCAAGTCTGACATCCATGAATTTTATGTCTATCCAAACTCCAGGTTTAAAGTCCTGTAAAATAGGTAATAACCCTTCTCGGGTGAAAATGTCAGGGTACCAAGATCAAAAGTGTATTATTCTTGATAAAATGAGAAATGTGTAGAGAAATTGTAATGATTGGTCACTGCATAGCAATAAAATCTAAGGAAAAGAGCAAGGATGTAATTTCCAGGTCCTTCTCTGAGCCTTGGTTTCTTCATCTGAAAAAGTAGATGACTGTCTCAAAAAGTCAATTTAGGTGTCACAAAGTCAATTTAGGTGACAATGAGCTAATCTGTGTAAAGGTGTTTTGTAAATTATACTTAAACATATACTTGAAGCACTTAGTGTTGAATGGTTTTTAAAAATTACCATGAGAGAGTAAAGGCCTAACCATTATGTGGATTTTGTTTTAAAATGAGTTCTATTGTATGTCATCTACTTTAATTTTTTTCTACATATAATTTATTACATTTTCTCTAAACCTGTGTGTTGTTTTATATTGATATAGAGCAATAGAAGAAATGTGATATAAAGAAGAACTGTTTTAAATCCTCTTCAAAATAGTATTGGTTATGAATAAAACCATACTATTCATTTTAAATATTTTATTTAGCCCCCCCAAATCCAAAAACATTTGTTAAGAAAAATTCCTTGGGCAAAATGACAGAAATAAACTTCTCTTCCCTTGAGTGGTAGTATACGTCCTAGGATTTCCATTCAATTGGATTTTCAACTATTTCACTCTTTTAGGGATGAATTGCAATAATCTCATCTCTCTGGCTTACAGCATTTATGATCTGAAGGTCATAACTGTGAAATTTAAAGATTATTAGGTTATATCCTCCAAGATTCTTTATTCAAATTCTCCATGACATTTTTTAGTATAGTATTCTATTGGAATTTTGCATTTACTGCTTCAAACTAAAGTTTTTATATGTTTAAATATTCTCTGGTTTTGCTTACTCTCAGATTGTGGAAGGGGGGTAGAATGGGATGAGATGGGAGAAGGGTGACTTGGAATACTGTAATCCAGAGGTTCTTACTTTGGTTTCTTCGATTCCTTAGCCAGTCCTCAGATGTACTGTGGGGGTTTGGTGGCCCTCCAGAAAGTTTATGGAAGTGTTGTATGTACTTGCACATATGTAATTTTATGGGAAACTTGCATGAGTCTGATGTAGAAATAATTAAGAACCATTGTGAAATGCCTTTCATTGATTTCTAAATACTGTGACAGAGCTAATTATCCAGAAAATAATTAGTTCAGTGCCAGTTTTGGAGGAAGAAAGAAGTAGGTTCAGATCCTGAATTTACCACCTACCTATCTGTTAAGTGATCTTGGGGAAGTTACTAACCTCTCTACACCTTAATTTCCTATGAAATGACATAAGTATCTCGCACAATGTCAAGTTCACAGTAGACATAAAATAAACTTAGTTCTTTGCCCCCTCCCTTTATCTTCTCTCTATTCTCTGCCTCCAGTCTGTCACTAAGAACTGTAGGACCCCAACAAAGACTGCTCTAAAGGAGGTTAGGGTCTCCTGGTGTTACTTCATGAGTAACTGGGAAATTACTCATAATTCATGAGTTCTGGGAAATGGGGGTAGGTTTTATGGAGACTGAGACATTTAAGATGGGCCTTAAAAGAGATTATCTTTCATAATCATACTGCTTTTTTTCCCATATTGCTTTAACCTAGTCATTGCAGATGCTCCAATAGCTTTCTCTATTGTACTTTGTTCACTTTATTCATCTGATCTGCCATTTGTATTCTAGTTGGGTAACACATTTAGAATTCCTTGTTTTACTTTCTGTTCATGACCTATTTCTGACCACTTGTCAAGGCCAGAAATGATTGTTTTCTCTTCTACTCCATCTGCGCTTCCTTCAAAAGCTCACTTGAAGAGTCAAAATTTAGTGATTGGAATTTCACATCCTTAGTCTATGTGTGTGTAGATGTATGAAGAAATTTTATTTTATATGTAGGCTATTCTTTCTACCAATGGACTAATTATTAAGTGCATGGGCCAGAGAAACAAGTGAATATTGTGATAAAAAGTTTGTTTCATAAAATAGTGGATTTAAAATATACATAAAATATTTTGAATTAATAGTGAATAAAAGGCTTTAAAGTGAGAAAAAATCCAGGGTAATGTTCTTAGAGGAACTACTTTTCTAAGTCCTTAGCATTTGTTTTGTGCTTTCAGCAAAGAGGTCTGGAGAAAAACCCAATATTATTGGATTTCTGGATGTTTGAGTTTCAATCTCTTCCTTTGGACGACCTAGCTGACCTTGACAAAATCCTCTTAAAACTTTGTGTCATCTGTTCAATAGAGAGAACAATTGCAGTTATTTACATAATAGAATTTCTAGGAGGAAGACAGAGAGCACTCTGAAAAGTACATTGCTAGAAGAGAGCACACTTACCAAATTGCAGGTGAATGATTTCCTGCAAATATATCTGAGTATATTAAAAGACCAACTCCTCCAGAATTGTATTACATCAGCAACATTTTATTATCTGCTTTGTTGCATTATTGTGACCATGGACTAGTCCATGCAAGTGCTTCAAACCTTACTTTCTTAATGTGTTCTATGTATTGCATTAATTGGCAGCTGTTCCTTATTTTGGAAAAGTTGGGATTAAAATAAGAATGGGGATAAGAGAGGAGTATACTTTGCGTTTTGCTCAAGGGAGACCTGTTCATTACTTCCAGAAGTGCTTCCATTTATTTTCCTCCTAAAGGTCTTTAAGTTTGATAAAGAAAAATGTGTTTTCTCTCTATTTTTGAC